GCGACTGTCACTGCCCCGCAGCGACGCCCGGCCGAGGGGCGCCCTGGATGGCGCTGGGGGTCTCGGCTGGGATCCCACCTGACACGTGCGGGAGGACAAGGACTGACAGGGAGGACGACTGCTGTTTGGAATAAGGGAGCGATGGTTTCACTCAGCTAGCTGGCCGAAGGCGTGCTTTATTTATTTATTTTTATTTATTTGAAAAAAAAAAAAAAACCTACAGTACACTGCGCAAGACGAGAGCTAATTGCAGAACAACTGGTGCTTAGAAAAGGGTCCGACTCCTGTTTCCAGTGATCGGTTTCCTATTAGCAGAGACTTGGAATCTAATATTGATGGGATTTAGACATTTGACTTAAAAATGTCAAATTAAAAAGTGGAGTTTTAGCATTTAAAAATGATGGCTCATAAGATTTATTTTTTTTTTCCTTCTAGTTTTTATTGAATCTGGGTCGTAGAAATGGAAGAGGTTGAGGAGTGGATGTTTTTCATACCGATTAACTCTTACCTTCATTGTGTATAAGTGTCATAGATAGTAAAATCTTCAGCAGTTTTACCTCGGGGAAATACATCAGTGTTCTTCTGGTCAGAGCTAACTACGACCAAGTACTATTTTTAAAGTGATACTTTAATTTGAAATCTATGTTCTTATGAATGGGGCCATGATTTTTAAAGAGTTGTGCTCAATACTTTAAAATTTAACTAATAAAATAGTGCATTGTAATATGAAAAATGTCTATTTGTGATTGCATTTGCTTATTGAAACATGAATTTAACACTACTCTTCTGAAAGAATGTTCATTATTTTGAAAAGATCAGTAATTATAACATGAGTGGCATATACTTTTTGTTAAGCTGTTTTGTTTTTGGAAATTGAATGTATACTATAAATAAGCTGTGATGGGTTTTTTTGTGCCCTTATTGCTTGTTAGATATCTGTATCCTGCTTATTATTTTCACTGGTTTTAGATCAATGAAGTGGGAAACCTTTTTGTATAATTAAAATACATGTTAGAAAATTGAACTTATTCATTTTTTTGAGTCAGCGTCTCATGTAGCTCTAGGCTGGCCTTGAACTCTAACTGAAAAAAAAGTTTGGAGGAAAACAAATTCAAATTAGACTAAGTATTTCTGTTGAGAAAAATCGAGAAACAAAGAAGTAAAAGCTTATACACAGCTAGCTGGTCAGGAATAGAAGAGTATAGTCTAGTACTCTCTCTGTAATGAGTAACTAATTTTGGAATATTCCTTAAAGGATGAACTTTATTCTGTTTTAGTCTAGATGGTGACTTTCTTATATTCCTTCCTAGATGTTTGCTGCTTTTACACACTTAGTTCCTTCCCATGTAGAAATGGGTCTGCAGTTTTCTCCTTCCTTTCCCTGTGAGTCAAGAGGATTTCATAGAACTTCACTTAAACATTAATCAAGGGAAAGAATGTTTATTAATGTTTAGCATTTGTAAAATTTCATTTGATTCAATTATTGCAAGTAATTTACTGTGTAAAGAAAGTCTGTGTGCTCTGTGGTAGTGTATACCTATAATCCCAGCAATGAGGTAGAAGGGGTGTGAGCTCAAGATGGGCCTGGACTGCATAATGAATTCAAGGTTATGAATTCAAGCCTGAGTTAGATAGTAAAGTCTGTCTCTAAAGCAAACAAAGTCTAAACACTCTTCTGTAATAGTTTTTAAATTTACACAAAAATTGAGATGATTGTGAGGGGTGCACATCTCAACATTCAGTTCTCTCCCTTTGATAGCTTAGTGTAACACATTTGTCAAAATTAATGACCCAATGCATCAACATGTTTACTGTAAGTCCATATCATATTCATATTTCCAGTTTTTACTTAAGGTCCTGTTTTGGTATCAAGTACCCAATTTAGGTACCACATGACATTGTAACATGAAATATTAAAAAAAATTCCTTAGATTGTGTTAGTGTTGTGCTGGGACTGTAGTTTCTTTGAAGGTACATGGGAGGATTAAAGAAAAAATGAGATTTTTACCATTGTGTAGGTCTGTGTAAGGAAAGGACCTAACCACAGAAAGATAATTATCCTTTTCAGAAGTGATCAGTGTTTAGTAAACTAAAAAGACTAATGTGGCAGTATTGTGATTTCCCTACTGCTCTAGACTGTTGTGCTCTTTAGCCATGCCAGTGTTTTCCTAACGTGTATATGCCTGCCAGTGCTCACAAGTAGTACTGGAAGAGAATAACCTGAGCCTGAGAAATAAGTGATGGAAGGGTTGAACTCTTGTCTGTTTTCCTCCTGAAACTTTCACTTTGGGCCTAGTAGATTTTTCTTGGTGTTCTTGATATGAATATATGCTTTATAAACTCTTGATACTGTGATCAAATAATACAGCCTCGTCATACAATTCTTTCTGTATAGAGTGGTTTGGGGAAGTAAAAATGGATACTAAACTTGTTCAAAGCAATCAGTTAAGTGAAAAAAGTTATTCTGAGATCTTTGAAAATGTCAAGACATTAAAAACTCTGACTACAAATGTGAGGAATTAGCATAACTTAAACATATTAAAGACATTACAGTTTCATATTTTTGATGAAACACTTGCCAAATGTAGTTTGAACACCACTCTCTTTTCTTGTAATTACATGTCAGGTACAGAACAAGAAGGTTCCTTTCTCAGATTTGTTGAATAGGTGAACACTTGTAAGTTGGATCATCTAGCAAACTATCTCAAGAGATTCCTGTGTGAAAGTTTTTCAGTACTATGACATCATCCTTTGGATATTTCGGTTGAGTCTAGGGCTTCTTATATATGTTTTGCAGCTACTCTACTATAGTGCTGTATTCCCAGCTCTCTTTTGACTTTAATGTGGTACAGGGTACTGCTGAGTTGCCTAAATAGGCCCCGAACTTGTGATCCTCCTGTCTAAGCCTTCCAGATAGCTAAGGTTACAGGCCTGTATAGTACCATACCCATCTGAAATCATTCTTTTCTTAGAACCTGTTTTTCCATTTGTGTGGATGTGGAAGAAGTAACTTGGAAGGGGGGGTAGGAGAATCAGGAGCTTGAGGTCATCCTTGGCTACATAGTGTGTTTGTGTGTGTGCGTGTGCTTGTGAGCAGATCACAGGATACATGAGACCCTGTCTTATGAACCAAAACAAAGTGCTGGGAAGATGCTCAGTCAGTAAACTATGTGCCAGGAAGCATGGGGACCTTAGTTAAGATCTCCAGAACCCACATAAAGCTAGAGGGTCCCAGGAGTGTGCATCTCTAACCCAGTGCTTACCATATCGTGGGCAAGACAGGTGGATTTCTGGCGCTTATTGGCCAGCTACCCTAACCAATCAGTAAGTTCCATGTTTTGTAGGAAACACTGTCTCAAAAAATGAAGAAGCTTTTGAGGAAGATATTTGATGTTGATCTCTGCCTCCACATATACACACTTGTACTTTATGTAATGATAGCATAGCATACCATAGAGGGATTTTGGAATAGTTGGGTTTGGTGTTCTTTCCACTGTGTTAACCGAAATATATGCAGATGGGGACCATTCATAGCAAGCTACCTAACTATGGAAACATTCACTTAGTAATTATTTTGGGAGCTCTAACATAAAACTTCAAAGTAGATAGAAAACATGTTGACTAGAATAATGATTCATTGCTTAAGAACTAATGTAAAATAAACCTGAACTATATGGAAACTAGGCAGTCAGACCAGGGTTGGGGATGGTGTATTGTTTATAGAGTTTTAGTTTATTTGTGTGAGAATAAATTGGAACTTAACAGAGTTTCAGACTATAGAAGAGAAATCTTTTTGTCATCTGAATCTTAAGGTCCTTATACATGTTGAATAATAGTTGTAATAGACAGTACATTGTGGCTCTGCTATCTTCTATGCCATGTTTATTTTGTATATGAGCAGTAGAACTCTAGGCATAAAATGACTTTGTCAGGATTATTTAGATAAATAACCCAACAATAAGGCCAAACTTGAGTTACTGAACATGAGATGAGTAATATACAAACTTTGTTGCTACCTCTTTGACATCATTTTGTAAATATTCCAGGGCTAGTGTCTTGAGCACAGACTCTTTAATCTGTTTTGGTATCATACTGTGTTTTATGTATGCTTTGGTTTATTTTGTGCATGTCCAGTGATGTGAGCCAGGTGTGATGATTTATGCCTGGAATCCAACACTTGAAGAAAGAGAATTGTAAATTTGAGGACATAGTGAGTTTCAGGTCAGACTACGTCACAGAGTGTAACTAAAAATGTGGGAGGGGGTGTGTGTGGGAAGCTAGTGATGTTATTTCATAAAGATAAAGATCTTTGTCATGATAGAGATTAAGGGCATTAAAGATCATTAAAACTTCATCTTATATGGAGTGAAATGATGTATTTAAAAATTAAAAAAAAAAAACAAACTAATGGGTAGATTAGATGGCTCAGTGGTTAAGAGATCTTGCAGTTCCTAGCACCCACATAGTAGTTTATAGTCATCGTTAACTCTATTCTAGGTAATCCTATGTCTTCTTTTGACCTCCATAGGTACTAGGCATACATACATACAAAAATACTTGTGCACATAAAACCTAATTTTTAAAAAAGGAAAACTGTTCATAGTGTGTAAATATTGTTTGACATTAACAGATTTTTTGTAAACTTAAATTTGGTATTTCAGGAAAATACATATTCTCTTAAGGATGGCTATACATTATATTCTTTTTGAAGTTATTTTGAGGAAAGGAGGGTGAAGAAGGTTATTGGTAATGCTGTGAATGGTTGATACAAAGGCATCATTATAGTGGGTCCTAGACCCAATCTGATTTGTTAAGTCTTAAACCTTTTTTGTATCAAATCTATTATTCCTGAAGTGGCCCCTTTTGGTGTGTGGGTATGTTGCTGGGGATTGAACCCAAGTACATGTGAGTGCTAA